TAGGAACTTCAATTTTTTCAAGCCTTCGGACGGACGCGAGAGCATCTAAAATACAGTTCGACTAAATTTTCTCCAGAGCCATCAGTAGAACCTATAGTTGTGATCACAAAACAATCATCAAAATGATTCTACGAAGCCATCAGTTTTCTAGGTTTAAGTTTTTTTCGGGGCCACGAAATCCGAACTCGATTATTTTTCGCACCGTACTTTCCCGGTTATGTCATTGCGATTAGGTTCCTATTATTCCACCGACCTACTTACATACTCTGATGGTGTTAAATTCTAAAACAGGATTAAAGACCTTATTAACAGGCTCAGAGCGTTTCGGAAAACCCTCGCGGTACGATTAGTTTTGTCGGTTATGGGTGTGTTTGTTTGGCAAACGTTGAGCTGCTGACTTAATTATAGGGGCCGCCATTAATAATGAATAAGCGTTCTTTCAATATTTACGCATATTTAAGCATTAATGAAATGCTTTCAATAATTCCAAAAGCCAATAAAAAATGTTTGTCAAATATTTATCTATGCATTGACAAATCCGTGCGCATTTCGCCGCAAACTAAATTTCAATTAAAAATGTGGCATGTGTGTTTATACAAGTATCACACATGTGTGTGCGTGTGACGTGTAATTTGCTAAATTAATCAGGCATTAAATTGGCTTATGGTATAACGGGCACCCACATAAATGCAAATGCAGATGCCAGGGTAGCAAAAAATAGAACAAATGTTGACAGTTCGGCCATATACGAGTACGAAATGTAAATTTTCTAATTCCTAAAATATCGCTCGCTGGCAAATTCAATTTGACAAGCGAATTATGGCCCTTGGGTATTTGCGTTTTGCGTTTGAAAAAGTATTTTCGTTTATTTCGATTGTTTGTTTTTCGAGTACTGAAAACAAGTCCAATCCAATTTTTGACCACAAATCAACAAGCGAATTTTTAATTTATGGAATATTTGCATAACACTTGCATAATTGAATTTCGACAAGTAATTATTTAAATTTCTTTATTTTTGTATGTGTAGCCGGGGAATTAATTACTGACTTATGAGCTCGAAGTCATTTATTGAACCATACAATTATTTGCCAAATTAATTGCCAAATCATGCAATTAACAAATGAAATGCGAATGGGAAATTATTCGGCCTTATAAATTCACAAAAATTATCAACTCAAATGTTAATCACACAGAATTGATCAAAATTGTATTATTTTGCAAGAAACTCAAAGGCATTGAGCCAATCAGATGTAAAAAAGGATTCTTTTGGTAGCTGCCTGCATATTAGTTGAGAGAGCTAATAAGTGGGTGGCTGGGGCTAATTAAGCTATAGTACATGTATCGCTAAGGAAGTTATATACTGAGAGAGAGAGAGAGAGAGAGAGAGAGAGAGGGGAACCTTCCAAAGGGATGATAGATGTAGCGGATCGGGTATCTTCCAGAGTGTTGGTAGAGGCAGAGGAACAGGTAGGTGTTAGGAAATCTCGCTTTATTACTTAGTCCCTTTAGGCTTCGCTTCTAGAGCATGTGCTTTGAAAATAGTTTATTGTTTTGTTAGGGGAAAGTAAAATCTGAGGGAGGATGATGTACTCTGATGGATTTGTGAGCTAAAACTGACCAAGAAAATGCCAGGCAAAGTTTTGAACAAAATGATAAAATGTGGTATACAAAATGTTCCCTAAAAGGAACTTAATGTCGAATGTTCGAATACATTCAAAGCGGAAGAAAGCCTAAATGCATGCGTTTGTCAATACATATTGATGAGGTGTGGCATACACGGTCTGTCACACACGGTACGTATACGTAATGCATGCGCTTCTTATTGTTGCTGCTTCTAAGTGCATTGTGCACCATGAGTGAAAATGACTTACGATGCGAAAACAATGCAAAACGCTTTCGACACTCATCTGCTGGCGCACATAAGTACAGTTAAGTGCTATGCGTTTCGGTCGGTTGTGCCTTGCGATGCAATGCCATTGACGTGCCACCCACAAGCGCGCATTTTAATGTGTCGTTGGCAGGCTTTCCTCTGCCGTCGATTTCAATTGTTTTCGATTTCACTTTTTGCTCGGCTCCCACTCTTTGTTCTGCGCCTTTTTGGCTTTTATTGTTGGAATTGTCATTTAAGTGCAGCAATGTTATTGTTAGCTTTGAATGAAATTTCAAATACCCGTAACTATCGTACATATACGAGTACACCATATCGTATATACACAGGTGAGCTGCTTGCTTGCTGCTTGCTGCTTGCTTGTTAACATGTTCGAGTACAAGTATGTCATAAAAATGTACACATTTAAGGCATTGCAATTCAAAGAGCTGTGGTTTTGAAAACTATTTCGAAAGCTGGCCAAATGTACGCACTTAGCACCCTGTAAAATGGTTATAATTTTGGTTCATCTAGGTGGCCATAAATATGAACAACATCAGGCAAATTGAAAAAGCAGGCTACAGAAGACTGCAAATATTTAAATTGCGCTGCACCTTGCCACAAAGTGTCTTAAAATATGATAGACACAGCAGAGACGAAGGCCAAATATAAATTATACATGAAATGTATGCATACGAGCATTCGTCTACCGTTCTCGCGGGCTTTATTATTATGTATATCTACTATGTATGTACTATGCGCCATATGGCATTCAAGTGCCCTTTTGTTTCCTAACCAAACAGTTCAGCAGACCGCAGGGAAGTTTTGTGTATCGATATGGGCCAAATGCCAGAATGTGACTAACACACAAAAGGTCCCAATGTGTACGTCACTTCAGCATTCGCGCCTTTGCGTCCATTCCACTGACAGTCCCCTCCATGCATCTGACGATATATGACCGAAAACAGAGCAACATATACGAGTGTGAGTGGGTGTCTGAGTGGGTGTCTGTATGTCTGTGTGTGCCCATTAGGCACTTTTTTGTGGCGTTGAGTTAAAAGTCTTACAGCGAATTAATAAAAAAGCTGCAGCCAAATGACGCTCCCCCCTTATACTCGCTCTAGTTTTAAGAGCGTCTGTGGAAATACATGTGTCCGCCATAGTGTTTTTATTGACCAAACATTTTGTTGCAAAATTTTCAATTTGAACAAATTTTAATAATTAAAATAGTGAACTCATTCACTACACTTGTTAACAGTATTTTTGATCAGAATCAGAAAATACCTTATTTTGTAAAACTTGAAAAGACCATTTCATTTGTATACCCTTCACTACAAATAATAAGGCTATATTATTTTTTCTGTGTGATGAAATTACAATGTCCGTTAAAACTTTGCACCAAGACTTGATTTTGACGCTCACAGTTAATACTATAGTATGACGGATATGACGTATACGAGTACTACATGTATGCCAAATGATTTATCGGAAACGTTTTTGTGTCGAACGGTGAACGTGGAAGACCAAATGCGAAATAAATAAAAAATACTTTGCTAAGGCAATTTAGAATGTACGGATACATAAGGATTTATAGTTTGCACACCATGGCACTGAAGAACTAAGGTTATTGCTTTAAGGCACAGGGAAAAGTGTGAATAAATACTGTAGTATATAACTTCAGTTAGGGGATTTTCTTGTAATACAACTTGTTACTTATAAATGCATTAGTAACCGATATATCAAAAACTTTGCTTAAAATAATTACATTTTAAATATTAAAAATCTGTACCCAAAGCGTAAATATGGAATGCAGACTCTGTTAATCGATTTTCTTTAGATTTGTTTATTTTGTTGTTAGAATTGAAATACGAGGACTCTATACTAAACACTTCCATTAGCCAGGCGCTAGGAAAACACACCTTTATGAAATTGAAAACAGTCGAGCTCTTATTCGCAAAGATACTCCCCGCTAAATTGTGGCCAAGTAAAGAAGTTCAACCGGTAAGTGTGAGGTAGACATGTCCCTAAATCTAGCTCGTAAGTCGAAATAGAAGAACGTCGTTACCGCTGCACGAAAGGCAGCGTCTCTTCGTGTATTTTTAGTCAACTTTATAAGTTCTTTATGTGTAAATAAAAATGATTGATTTGGCGGCATACCAAGATTTTTGACGCATCATTAGGCATTTTTTTGTTCGTACAGACAAATGTTGATACAAATTAAGTAGTATATGGTAAATAAAACAAATTTGTTGCATTTTGTGCATCTGCTCTTTGTTTTCGTTATTCCATTGAGCCGTTTTTCAGTTGTCCTCGACCTCAATTTCCCAGCCAGACAATGGCTAGCCCCATCCCCGCTCTCAGTCGCCCTGCCAGTCCCTATCGGTTACCTTTCACATTGTGTTTCATGATGTCTGCGGCCACTTCTCGCCTGTTGACACACATCACTTATTGCGACTAAGAGTGGTGTGTGCTGGACAGGACTGAGCTAAGGTAATGGCTTTTTGGTGGCTTCTCAATTGCAATTTTTACCCATATTGCGTTTGGTGTCCTCGGCCAGGGTCATTGTGAATGGAAATTTGTGAAATTATTCGTGTTTGAATGGGCATAGTGAGCAGTGCAGGCACTGATAGGTGGTGATGGGATCGGATCCATTCACATCACATAATAGATGTTTACCCAAGCTACATTTTTGTTTGCGCACCTCATGAATTTCTATGAGCACGGGTCGAGCGCCGCTGCTTGGGGGTTTTGCAAAGCATGGGACAGAACTTTTGCTCCTGGTTGGGCGGTTTGTCTTTAAAAAATTTAAGCGATAACAGAAAAGAAAATCCCATCAAATTCACAGCCGTTCATTGCTTTTAAAATGAGCTACAATGGTCGTTACGTTCTCAAATTCCAAAAATTGAATCGAAAGCGAAAGCTACAACAAAGCAAATTATAAGTGAATCGCAATCTAAATCAGAATACCAATACGAATCCAAAGCCAGCGCAGGGCCGCAAAACCAAAGCAAATCTAACGTCTGTAGTGCTGATAATGCATCCCATAACCCATGGGTGTGCTGCCCATGGCACGTTCTGTAGCCTTCTCGATGCTCGCATAAACGCACCTGTAACAGCACACATAGGCCAAACATCACTTGAACAGGATGCGTCGAAAGGCGCGTCGGAAGTCCTTGTTGAAGATGGTATAGATGGCCGGATTCAGTGCGGAGTTCATGTAGCCCAACCAGAAGGCGATGGCGAATGCCGAGTCGGGTATGTGGCAGTGGCTACTACAGGCGGGAACCAATATATATAGAAAGAAGAATGGCAGCCAGCAGGCAATGAAGCTGCCCATTATGAGACCCAAAATGAGCGTTGCCCGTTTCTCTTTTTTGCGCGCAATGCGTCGCTTCTCCTTTTCGGGATCGCGCGGCTTCGGCGTCTTTGGTATGGCCGGCTCCAGTTCGGCCTTAACCACTTCTGCCGCACATTTGGTGTTGTTGCTTTTAGCAGCAGCCGCGGCGGCCGCAGCGGCAGCGGCCTTCGCCTCATTACGTCGCTGTTGGTTTGACTTTCGGCCGAAAATTGGCTGACACAGGCGAAACTTCAGTGGCTTGACGACGGCACAGCGGCTGACAACGCCTGAGTCCGAGCTGGAAGGATCGAATTCACTCACCATGTCTGTGTCAACGCCAACGGAGAGTGCACGACACCGACCGGCGATGGGCGAGACGCGCAGCTCATTGGGAGACGGCGAGGGCGAGAGTGTGGTGATGTCAGCGCCCACGACTCCACCAGAGGAGGAGTTGCCGTTGCCACCAGTCGAGACATGTCCAATACTGCCATTGTTGTTGTTCAGCGCCATGGATGGTGGCACGGGCACATTAAGTCCTACATGGCCCGTAGCAATCGTGCTGACCTGCAGCGTCTCCTTGTTGCTCGGCGAGCTGGGCGTGACCGCCAGCATCGAGTTTGTCGTTGTTAGTGCTGAAGTATTGGCTGTGGCGTTGTTGCCATTAGGGTTCACATATGCCAAGGCTGTGTGGGCCTCAATTTCACCCGCCTCCGAAGTGGATATGTCCGAGGCCAGATCCATGGTGACCGTTGGTATTTGCATGGGCAGCGTAGCGCTGTTCGGTGGTGTCTCGATGGTGGCTATTTGACGCTGCTGATGCAGCTGCAGGGCAGCGCCGCTGGAGGATGGCATCGGTATTGTTCCTTTCTTGTTGGCGGTGGTGAAGCTCGTTACCTGCATTAGTGGAGAAAGAGACAGAGAGGAATATTCCAATTTGAGAATTCAAATCATTCATTTCGTAGTTTTTAGGTTTCAATGATTATCTGAAAAATCTTAAAACGGGTTCTGCCGTATTATTTCCAAATCGATCTCTTATATGGAAATGCAAAATATTATAGAGGCAATACACAAAACTCTTATATATCTTAATATCGTATATATCTTAATAAACAGAAAGGTAATCATAAAAAGAGTATATTTTCCACTAATGATTCAAAGTTTTCAGTGTTCAAGTGGATAGGCAGAAGGACATGCCAATATAGATTTGTCTCGTCATTCTGTCCTCATAACATGGAGTGGGTCTTGCCTCCATATTATAAACATTTGATGTTTAGAGTCTTTATTATACCCTTTAAACCTTCGCTTAGAGTATAAGGTTTTATTGTAAGGCTTTGGAAGCTGGTGCATATTATTATTATAGTAAGCTGGCTTGGTAAAACATATTCTTAGGGTCCTATAGGAAAAACCTACAATTCGCTGGGAGAGGCGATCGATCAAAAATTATGCGTCGACTACACTCAACAGTTACTTTGCAATTGTGACACGCATACATATAAGTAGCATAAGTCCAGTTTGACAGCAATAGTTCATGCTGCTCCTACATACTTGTACAGAAGAACTGCAGGACCGACGAATAGACGCAGCTACATCGCTTCCTCCCGTCATGCTGCTCATACACGTACATTCTTGGCCTTCGGGTGGTGAGGCTTGTCTAATTTGAGAAGCGAAGCCGAAATCATTGCAGCCATTCATTTGGAACTCGACACCTTTTTGGCCTATAGGGGTGGCATTATGCGAGTGTTGTTGCTTCGCCAATTAGTAGGGGTCGGCAACCAGACAAATAGTTGGCATACAACACTTTTCCATTTCGGAAATCCTTTAAAACGCTGAAGGCCCGTCAGAGCGTGCGGATTACACAGGCAGAAGGATGCCGAAAAGTGGGTGGCTCTGAATATTTTACGCGCAGCGCAACTGCAATTACCAAAGGCAATTAGCGGAGCCCGAAATGTTACAAACGAAGCGTCCTCCGCTGCATGTGCGCGGATTTATCTTTGGGTTCATGCAATATTAGCCCCTGTTTGAATTTTCGGCCAACATAGCTCGGCTAACAAAAATCGAGGTGGTGGTGTTAGTGAGAATAATTTTATTTTATTTCAACCTGAGATTTGAAGTCGTTAATTTTACTAAAGAGTGCTTCCGCGATTCTCTTCGTAAAAACCAGGTCTCAATTAGTACTGTGAGTGTCGATGTCAGCAGAAGTGTTTGGGGCCATTTTTTTGTTTGTTGGCAACGCGTTAATTGAAAATGCAAATTTTGCACGCCACGTCACGTGGCAAACGGCATTATAGGTAATTTGACTCTCTTCGAATACGAAAATATTCCGACGTGCGTGGTTCGACATTTATGTATTTTGTACCCCAATTGCACACGCTTTCTGATCAACTTTATTCGTTTCGAACGAACCAACATCCGCCATTTTGTGGAACTGCACTGCATTGTGGCTGTCAGAGCTGCTTCTCTAATTTGGCAGTGGACGACCACAGATGCGATATGTTCGCCCGCTTATCCCACCTTGGTCTTTAAAGTGGGTTGCATTTAAAGCGATCTGATTTGTGTATGTGTATACAAGTACATACGATTATATTGCGCATACGACACGTGTGTTGGAGGTGCGAAAAGTAAATCTGCCGCTACCTTTGTGTGGCTGCAAAACACAAAAACACGTGTGTTCATTCAAATGTTAAAATTTCCATTTACAATGAGGTGCGGTGGTTGAATTGCGACGATGGCTGTGGCTTCTCTCGGTTCGTCTGCTGCCAGCCAGATACTACGCGCCATTGGCGCTGGAGACGTTCTGTTTAGACTTGACTGCCTCTGGACCTTAATTGCGTCCTTCTCATCAGTGCTCATTAGGCTTGCCATTGAGTTGACAAACATTCCACACATGAATTTCACACCTAACATCAAAGCTTGAATTCGGCGAAAGCACGGAGGCGTTGATTATACAAGGTTTAGTTTTCTATGCACTCAATTGGTTTCTACACCGAATAATGGCAAAAAAAAACCTGACTAACTTGTGCAGATCGTTAAACGGAAGATCATAATAAATAACATGAGCATAAAAGTGCAGCCTAGACGCAGGTATATCTTTCCAAGTGGATACAAGGAAGGTTTTATGGATGTGAGTCCTACACACCTCTCTTAGGGCAGATTAAAATATTCTTATTGCTTCAGCATTATAATATACTTAATAAAGAATTGAATAAGGAACACAATAAAGTTTAATTCTATATAGGACATAAATTATGGCTAGTTTGTGACGTTTTACTCTTACCTGTTCGTTGTTTGTTTTGCGCGGATGCTTTTTAATGCCGCGTCTCGCTCGCGCCTTCGCGGCAAAGTAAATTCGTATGTACACAAAGACCATGATGCAGCTTGGTATATAGAATGAGCCCAGTGCAGAGTATAGCACGTAGCCAATGTCCTCGCTTAGCTGCAAGGAAATATGTAAAAACAAATGATAGGTTTATCGCAAAACATAGCAAATGCCCTATTATAACATGATATACTCGTATTACTTTAAAATATCGTTGGCCAATGTGCACAACTTTAGACTTAATCCAACACTATCTCTAATTTATCTTCTTATCCATTTTCGTACTGTAATGTTTTCGTAAGCAATTCAACATTCACAGACAATGCCTCAAAAGGTATTGAGTGCATTAGTTTAAAGATTTGGCTGAGGAATAGACAGCTTTATGAAAGCCTCAAAAAGCCATTTCAAAACTACTTGGCTGCCAACATCTCGTGTGTGGTTAATATGTTAAGTGAATGAAGTATGTTGGCAAATAAATAAAAGAAGTATTTAAGGTAATCAATCGTTGAAAAGGAACACCAATGAAAATGTGGCTATTGAAGCCATTGAGTCTACGTAACCTTAAGTAATGCTTCACAACCGGATCGCGAGCAAAGACATAAAAGAAAATAGGCTATACTATATAGTATATGCAGGATATGCTTTTTACTCTGGAATATTTCGCATTTTAGCACAGACTATTTACGGCGCATTCTTGTAAAGTAGCCGGAATTAAATTCCATCATATTTTTGAGCATTTCTCCTATTATTGTTGTTGCCCTTTACTTTTTTATTTGACTCGCTCCGTTGCTGCCCGGCCTTTTGGTTCGGCGAGCTAACTTGCCAATGTACACTTCACAAAATTATGCAAATTAAGTGTTTTGATGAAAGGCATACAAAAAGTGCACTTGATGCAAGAGATTGCTCGAGAATGAAATACGTTTTTGCCCTTTTGGGTGGGTGGCTTGTTGCCTCCTCTGCTGCTGCTGCTGCTGCTACTGCTTCCGTTGCTGTTGCCTTTGCCACTGCTGTTGTCGTTGCTTTCACTGCTATTGTTGTACATAATGAAATGGCTTTGTGCTCGATGTTTTGCAGGATAGCGGGAGCTTACGTTTGGTTTGAAAATCAACAGGCGGGCGCCTGTCCTGACTGCATCTGCTTGCTGAGGCTCGTGGCACGTGGCACAAGGCCGGCCGTAAATCAGCTGGCATTAGGCCAGGACGCAGTTTAATGTGTGCTGTCTTAAGCAGGTGGTGTTCCTACCCGAAGCATCGACAGGCAATTTACAAAAATGTAAGTGAAATAAAACTTATTCAGCTTGTAAGCCGCTTACATGCCCAGCTGCTGCGGCACACAAATTGAATTTTTGAGCAGTAAATAAATAAATACTCGTAGTTGCAATTCTTGCATGCGACGAGATTGGCAACGACAGCAAGCACATGCATAAGAACAACAACAACAGCAACAACAGCGACAGCATCAGCAACGCTGCATCAGAGCTTAAATGCAGCGCAGTTCATCATAAGCCACAACGTCGACTATAAACTTTATCCTGCCGCCAAGAAGAAAATAAATTCCTCTTCCTCGTACATTGCCTAAGTTGCCTCAACAAAATAAGCATAAAGTATTAAGCGCCAAGTATAGTATGTATAATGTTGCCAAAATATACATCAAGTGGCAGCCTTGCAGTTATCCACTCATCCAGAAAGTCAGACAGCAAGTCAGAGCGGCACTTAAACAGCAGGAAGTTACAGTGAGAAAATGTTTTAGATCTTACATCTCACTAGCACGCATCAGGAGGGTATCCTTAATAGAGGATTCCAAACAGATATAAGGGAATCACTTAAAAGAGGTCCTATTACATGTACATTTGACTGTCATTGTGGGTATTTGAAGTTTTGAAAGTATTGCAGCTGGATCTAGAAGATTTGATATGTAGGAGTGTATTTTTGGTACTGGATTTCCCAAACAGAAAACAAATTGTGTGCCACCAATGCTAAAGTTAATGCAGAATCACAAAAACGAATATTTCTCTACAGCCAGCCTTATATTGGAGAAAGTTTGATTAAAGTATTTTGCCTTATAGTCACTCGATTTTTATATAGATGCTTTTGGCAGTTTCTTGAGATCATCTGATTTTAGAAATAAAAAAAGTGCTTAACTTACTGATTAATTATTCTTTTTTTCTTAGATATTTATGTTTGCAATTTGTATGAGCAGCTTTTTGGATGTATTCTATTTGGAATTGGCAAGCATTGCTACCAGTGTATGCATAAGGCTGGCGCAACAGCTACTTAAGCAGGCTTGAACGTTGATGTTGACTGCTTTCTGTTGCTGCTGCTGCTGCTGCTAGTTCTGCTGGCAACAACTTCCAACTTATACGGAATATACGAGTGGCTGGCAATTTTTGTTGCTTTTGCAGGTTGCTGGTAGACCCAGAGCAGAGCGATTGCCGTCGCTTGCACTGACTGCGCCACCGCAGCAGTATAATAAATCGACTCATCATTTATGGTTTACAGTTGATATATTGACAGCATTTGTCAGCGCATTTTCCCCATACACTCACATACTATATACACTCGTATACGAATACATACTTAGTAGGAATACATAGAAGCTGGTGGGTCAAACTGGCTTGATAAATATGTAGTATGTAAGTATAAGCTGTGCAGTTTTGCTTGCAGGGTTTGCGTTTTAGGGTGTTTAGGTGTTTCGCAACATTTATAAAGCAAACTAAAGCATAATTGCAGGCAATTGGCGACTGGTGTTTTAGGCACTGATATAATGTTCATCAGGCGCCAAAAGTTTTGCTGGCAAGTGATAAAAGTTTTCGGCTGACATAAAAGTTGCTCATACGCTATGCGAGCTGCTGTGTCTCTGTGTGGCCATCACGTGCCACCTTGATACTTTATACACTTTATACACATATGCAAACAGGTAGCACACACTCATGTACATATTTGTATAATATATACTCGGAGAAGTGGGCTATTTGTGCCTTGTTGGCTGCTGCTGATAATGACGAAAATCCGAGCGTAGCAAAATATTTTATTAGCGCAGTTCCAAAGTGCTTAAAGTGGCATTAGCAGCAGCAGGCTGTTGGATGCCAGTGGCAACAACGTGATTACAGTTCAAAGACACGAACTAGAAGTGATATGGACACACACACACATGCACACACACACACACACACACACATAATTACATACAAAGCACCCACCCACATGCTCGGCAAACACAATAAATTGTCAAAAGACCAAACGTGCTGCCAAAATTTGCGAGAGGGTTTAATGTAATTGGAAACTCTATTTGGCGATGGCTGACGCTGCTGTATTTTCAGCTCTTTCTGCATTTCGTCTGTTGCATTTTTTTGCTAATTTGAAGATTTTCAAATTGTACCGGCGCTTTTGTTTATTTAAAAAGTTTTACTGGCTTGCTGACGCCCCCAATCCCGCCCTCGCCAACGTCTGAGCTCATGAAAAGTAGAGAGCGTAAATGCGAAAAGAAAAATAATTATTCTGCAATTTTTAATTAAACGGTAATAGTAATCGTTGTTGCTGTTGTTGTTGTTACAGCAGCAATGCAAAACTTAAGCTGCTGGAAACAAAAACTCATTATGCGCGGCCAAAAACGTTGGGCAACCCGAGCCGAGACGAAGGCAAAGTGTTGATGACGACAAGTGCCAAGAGGGCAGTGTCGACGAGAAAGCTGGAAATGACGAAATGGGCGGCGGAATGTGAGTTGCAGAATGAAGAATAAAGAATTAAGTAAGCTCTGTGCAAAATGCGAACCTGTTATTCTCAATTCTCTCTATTCTTAAATGCAAACATGCGAAATGTAGCTGCAAATTGCAAATAAAATGCGAAAATCTTAAAGTCACAATTTAGCTAAAGCAGTACCAAGAAATTGTTCTGTGTTAATAGTACAGCTCAACCGCCAGGAGCGGAATAAGACAAGAAAAAGAAATAAAATAAAGACAATATTCCGAGGTAAACACAAAAGAATTTCAATCCGAATTGCTGTAAAAGTTTGAAAAAAAAGAAAAAAGCGAGCACTATAACAAAAAGCGGCATCAGATAGACAGAAGAATATGGAAAGCTTCGTCCCGCTTCGAGACGTCATTGAGTGCTATGTTCTCATCATCAGCATCAGCATCAGCATCAGCTTTGTTGGTTTTGTTTTTTCCAGCAAGCTCTTCAACAGCAATAAGCAAAGACTTGACGTGGACGCTGATGTTGGGGGAACGCGCAAGGATGCAGTGTTGAAACAATCAATAAATCTAAAGTGGCAACTTGTCTACAGTTTTCAATTTTTGCCAAGAAACGCGAAAAACTGTGTCTGTGGCTGTTGTGAAGCTTTTCCCCACTGGCTCCACTATTCCCAATGCTGCTGACACTACTCATGCTCTAGCTGTGACTATTCTTAATGCTCCCATTTCGGAACTCACGGCTCTTGCCCTTTCGCCAACTGCATTTGCTGCGTACTTTTTATATCCTTTCCCCTACTGCTTTCCATTACTGCCGCTGCCAGCCATTTTGTAGTTTGTACAGCCAATTTGCATGGCTGGTTCTGGTCCTGTTCCTGCTCTGTGTTGCTTGCTTTGACTTGCATTGCAATTGACTGCACTTTGTTTGTCGCTCCGCCATTTTATTCAACCGCCCGCTGATTTTCCATCATCGTACTCTCAGCTTTGTCGCGTTCTTATTTTCACTCATTTTCGCGCAACACAACGCTTTCATGCTGGCAAATGAGCGAATAATTTAAAATTTAATATAATTTAATAATTACTTTCAGAAACTAATTCGCAGAAGAGGACTCAGGCGAAAATGTAAAACACTTGCCACGCCCACCCACCAAGCGGCACATTTTAATAATTAAAAACGTCAGCCAGCCTCCATCAGCACAGGCACTAAAATAAACTGAACCCAGTAAAAAAAAACAAAGTGTTGTTGGCGCCTAATTGTAGCTGGTGGCGGAAGCGGCGCGCTTCATTAAATTGCAATATTTTAGGCAGGCAATGGCGGAAATGCATTGCGGCCATTTTGAGGTTTCGAGGGAGGAGAAAATGTCTGCAAAAAAATGTCATTATGTGGTGGGCCTTTTTAATTGTGCAACAGCGACCAGTTTTATAGGTTTAT